GGGAGCGAAAGGGAGTGAGCAGGAGAGAGGAGATGTTTCATAGACTAATCCCTCTTTTAAATGAAAACCATTGAATCTTGGGGGCACCTGAGAGACTCAGTCTGTTAAGGTGCTCATTCTGAGCCTATGACATCGCTGCTTTTAGCCTGCACCATACACCTATCACTTAGACAACTAAGGCCGATAGTGACCCCAGTGGCAGGACATAATGGGCTTCATCCTGCTGGAATAGGTGGGGCCTCAACATTTCACTGCTACATCAGTGCCCCCTAGTGACTCATCAGGCACTTGTGAGTCGCTAGATTGCCTTGACAGAGTGAAGCATTAGGAAATTGCAGTATGTAAAATATACCAGAGGATTTTACCAGGGGGTTGTGGTGAGTTAAGTTCAAATTCAATTAACATTTAAATCTGATTAAGTGGACAGTCCTTAAATTTGACTCACAATAAAATATTTTCTTCTCTGCAGACACAATTTGCTGAGTTCAGCACACAATTTGCTGAGTTCAGCAATCACCAGAATAAAAACATTTTAAAGCCAAAAATGAAACAACTGCATTTATTTTCTGGGAATAGTCAAGGGACAAAAGACTGGCTGAATCCAGGCCTTAGAGCTCATTGTACTTCCACAGCATGTTGGGATGAAAAATTGGGAAACAAAATGAATAAATTAATTAAAACTTCTTAAAAGAAAGTTTTATTCAGACAAAAACATTTTCCACTTTCCAATTTAATCCAGCACCATATTACAATATCTTTTTAATTTTGCCCACAAATTGATCTGGGGAGTTTTTGTTTTTTTTCTTCTAATTTATTTTTATTGAATAGCAGATTTGAATGTGTGCAGGTGTAAATGCTACCAGCAAATAGTAACATCTTAAATGAGTTTGTGGCCTGAGGGAAAGGAACATTTCAGCACTGGAGATCTCATTAGAAACAAAAAAAAAAAGTTTTTGGCGTTTCACTTTTCCTCAGCGGCCTGTTAAAGGTTGAGTTTACTCCTGAGGGAGAGACATTGACTGGCCTGTGTTTGTGCACCCAGCCCAGGCATTCAGATGGGATTATAGCCGTGAATCGTTTTTCATCCACCTGACACAGATATTTTATATGTTATAACCAGATATTCAACTCCTGCATTCCTGTCCATTACATTGTTGGCATTTAACAGACACTCTTATCCAGTTACAGTTTATTTATTTACAGTGTTACCCATTTATACAGCTGGATATTTACTGAGGAAATTGTGTGTTCAGTACCTTGCCAAAGGATACAGCAGCAGTGCCCCAGTGGGGAATCGAACCAGCAACCTTTCAGTTATTGAGCCCTGCTCCTTAACCACTATGCTACACTGCCACCCATACCCCATCTGGAGAGGTTCTGGTTGGTGACAAGAATGTCTGTGTTGCTACACGTGTGGTGGACATTCCCTTTCGCCCCCTTAACAAACATTCATATTGAGCTGGAAAATCAGAGAACTTCACAGCGTCAGCAATGGCAGAGGCATAAATTTCCATCTGAAAATACGCAGAGCTGAATATCTGGTCATGAGAGAATATCTGTGGCACTGACAATTGTGGAGCGGCAGACACAAATATTACCTGGTCTGGATGTGGAAGTTGTTTGTGGTCCCCGTGTGCTCGTAATCGTGGATGGCTGCTGCGAAGATCATGGCGAAAATCTCGAGTTCCGTCAGCCAGTTCTGTGAGCATGAAGGGGGAGGAGAAAAGAGAAGAAGGTGAGAAAAAAGAGAAGACAGGAGAGGTGACAAGCGCATGAATGTCTGGGGAAAAGAAGATTGGTAAGTGATGATGTATTCATTTAAAAAATGCAAAGGCTTGTGCAGAGGCTGTTGAGTGAGTCCCACTGTTTAGAGGCCACTCTACAGAGCCCTTGGAGATCATGATTGTCACACACTGACACATAAAGTATGCACACTTCTGTAACACTCAGAGACACTCTCTCTCTCTCTCTCTCTCTCTCTCTCTCTCACACACACACACAAATTCATACAAACAAAACATGGAGTTCTGCTGTAAGCAACACTCAGTGTGCATGCGCACACACACACACACACACACACACACACACATACACAAACCACACAAACACAAACATAACCAAATGCACACAGACTCTACACTGTCAGTGTTGAGCCCTACACCACTGGTGTGACAGAGACAGAGAGGCAGTTTCTCAGAATCAGAGCAGCTGTTGCCCTCCTGTGCCTCCAAGTGACGTGGGTAGGCATACCAACAGCACCCCGTTCTTAGCGGGCTGGCTAAAGGTTAATATTGCACGTAGCAAAAGCTCTCTAAATCATTTGGACGTGACCAAGCAAAGCTGGAAATAAATTTTTAAGCAAAGCGCTGTTGAACTCTGTCTCTCCGCATTTAGGTTAAATAACAATTTATAAGAGGGGAGGAATGATGCGCTTTCTGGAAACGGAGGGAGGTGGGGTGAATTGCGGCACAAAGCTTTCACCAGCGGTATTACTGAGAGCTATTGATTGTTAATAAGAGTCATGAGTGCAAATCAATGCTTTCCTGAGTTCCGTCGGCATTAAGTTTTATGAATGTCCAAGCTGATCTGACAGCACAAGAGAATAATTGATTTTGCAGCCCCCCCCACTCTCTCTGCGTACAGCAGTAATGCGATTACTGAGAAGGCTCAACTCATTTCAACATGTTGTGGCAACAAGCTGTTACTGTAACATTATTTCTGTGATAAAATTAAGGCTGCGCTTCTGTGATGAAATTAGAGGAGAAGGGTATGTGTGGTGTGTGTGTGTGTATCTGTGTGTGTGTGTGTATCTGTGTGTGTGTGTGTGTGTGTGTGTGTGTGTGTGTGTGTGTGTGTGTGTGTGTGTGTATGCATGTGAGTGAGTGTGTGGGGATGGGGGGGTGTGCCCAGGGAGGACAGTTAGGCCCCATGTTGTATGGCTGATGCTTGTCTACCAAAAAGAAGAAGACACAAATCTTGCTACATCCCAATCTACCACAATCAACAATCAAGAACTATAACTTATGTTGGTTCCTTCATTTTACCATCTTCCTACAGTGTTTAGGATAAAAAAGATTTTTTGTTTCCAATAACCAATAATTACACCACTTTTTTACTCTGTACCAGGTAATGTTTCATGGTTTATTTTTGATTAATACTTTTTTAGAGGGGAAACAGTTTTGTACTTTTTGCACATTTACTGTAGTTCAGTTTTAACATATCTCCATTTTTTGAATGTTATTAGAACATTATTAAGCATTTTTAGTAGCAGATTTTTGTAGTTACTTGGGGTTCTGCTTGCATATTTACATTAGTCACTTCTGGTTTTCTGACACTACAAATCCAGAATGTGCCACAGAAACATACTGATCTATAAGATCACTTCACACTGCATTTGTTTTCTAATGGAAGAGTAGAGGAGCATGAATGTTATTGTTTTTATACACAGTGCAAATAGCCAATGAATGATCACCAGGTCACATGACACACCATGTTCTACAACCAGGGTAGGCGACCCTGCTCCAAGAGAGCTGGAGATGTTTCTGTGTTTTTTTTTGTTCCATCCGAGCTCTTAATCACATAATTGGATGAGTTGTTATGCTGACTTAATGCAGGGGATTCAGTCTGAATGGAGATATGCTGAGTAAGTTGAGCCCACGGTCACCTGAGCACATTTAGCGGAATAATTAATCCAATTATGTGACAAAGGATGCTCCGATGGAACAAAAAAAACACCAGCACCCCCAGAACTTCTGTTCTGAAAAGATAGACTCTAGGGACAAGAATTTGAGTCAGCCAAATTCTCATCACAATGTTTTGGTAATCGGTACCTGTTGTACACGTGTACCTGCGAAGATCTAACCTTAAAATGATGTTCCAGCATCAGCATCAACATCTGGGCACGCAGGCAAAAATACCGCCTTTCAAAACCAAACACTGCAACTAAAATAATAACCCTCAGTGACTGCACCACGCCACAGACCGAAGCAGAAAATGTCAGGAAACTGCAAACTCATCCAGTATGTCACAATACTGCACATGTTCAGATGAGATTTATTCCTGTGGCCTTTCGATGCAAACAAATCATTTTGAACATTCATCGAACTGTGGAGGTGGTGAAACGATGTGGAGGAATTCAGGCAGGAGTCGGAGGAGATCTGCCCCGCTAATCGATGCTCTGCCGAGGCGTGTGATGAGGACAGAAGCTTCACTTTAAACTGCCCGTTTCGCAGACACTGGCCTCGATAAATATAGGTGACAAAGTGCCCAGGTCCACCTTAATTAGTACAGCCCCTCCCAAGCTGACACCTGTGTTCTTTCAGTTGTTTTTCAAATGGTTCCATCTGTAACTGGACCGTTAGAGACATCGCGTTCCAGTTGAGGGTGTGTGTGTGTGTCGGGGGGTGAGACACGAAGGAGCACTACAACTGCTCATCTTCCTCACAGTACATTACCTTCATATCATTTAGCAGATGCTCTTATCCAGAGTAACTTACAAAGGTTACAGTTTTTACATGTTATCCATTTATACAGCTGAATATTTACTGAGGGAATTCTGGGGTTATTACCTTGCTCAAGGGTACAGCAGCAATGCCCCGGTGGGGAATCGAACCAGCAACCTTTCAGCCATGAGACCTGCTCCTTACCACCACATCACACTGTGTATCAATACTGCTCCTTACCACCATGCTACACTGCTGCCCCGTAGTAGATGAAAGTAGATGAACAATTCCACCTTTTTCACCTACTGTATCTTCTGTAAATCATGCAAGCAAACAATACTTCTTTGGATCATTATGGATCAGTATGTATACACTATTACTCTCTGGATCCAAGGGCTGCTACATATAACGTTACTTTTATGGATGAGTATAGATAAGGTTGCTTTTATGGATAATTATCGAACTATGTATGAATGCTAATATGTTGCTGTATGTTAATGGTTTGGCACTGGTACTTAGGCTAATGGTTGATACTTAGGAGCACCTTAGGAGTAGGATGGCAGTGTAGCATAGTGGTTAAGGCTCAAGGCTTGTAACCAAAAGGTTGCTGGTTTAATTCCCTGCTGGGGCACTGCTGCTGTACGCTTGGGCAATGTACTTAACCCCACAACTACCACAGCTTTTTTTTGCAAAATAAATGAACTGTAACTGATGTAAGTCACTCTGGATAAGAACATCTGCTAAATGCAAATAATGCAATGCATATAAATTCATATACACCCAGTCTCAATGATATCATTTCCTCATGAATGAGACCTACTGAGATCAAGATGTGACGGGCAGTGTGTGCTCATGGGATGTTGGCGTAGAGACCCACCACCATGCCGGTCTTCAACAGCAGGTAATGAATGGTCTGCGTGACGTCAGCTGCATGCATCAGGTTGTGGTAGGGGTTCTTGTGCTTGCTGTACCCCACTTCCAGCGCCTCGACGAAGGACACCAGAGCAGAGATGGGGATCTGATAGAGAGAGAGAGAGAGAGATGTATCCATTGTGGAAGGATTTGAGAGAGAATATCTTACAGCACACAGGTAACTGAACCTGGGGTCTGACCTCAAGCATACAAGTTGTTTACAACTGCATAGCAGTATACATATGAGCAAAACCCCGGGAAAGCATTTGGTTGGACGTGCATGTTGCTGCTTAATATTTATCAGTGAAGCCTGTATGGGCTGAAAGTGCTGAGAGTGTGCTCTGCTCAGGGAAACCCAACACTCGTAAAGTCTTTGGATGGAACCTTCAAAGCCTCCATCCGCAGAGAAAGCTGAGCGTACATGCTGCAGTTGCCGTTACCCCCTGCAGTGCAGTGATCCAGCCGCAGTGACAGAGGACAGAGGGAACGAGAGCCACTCCAGGTAACTCACCTTGAAGCGGTTGATTAAGTCGTATCTGGTGAGGAGTTCGTAGAATATGAATTTCAGAGCGTGATCTCCGCTGGCATCGTTCAAGGCAAACACATCAAAGGACCACGTGTCCACGTTCTGAAAGAGAAAGGAAAAAAGCTTTGATTTTTTTTCTACGTACAAACGCAAAATTACTATGATAATAAAGTGAAATGGGCAAAGGATTTCTTTTTTACTCTTTGAATGGTGTAACGCGCACGGGCAATATTGACAATAATGTATTTCATGCCAATAAAGAAGAATGAAGAGAACTGAATTAAACTGACAGAGAGAAAGAGAGAGTGTGTGTGTATGTGTGTGTCTGTGAAAGAGGGTAGCATTATTATAATGCGTATGTGTATGTTTATGAATGTGTATGTGTGTGTGTGCATGTGAGAGAGAGAGAGACAGAGAGAGAGGGAGAGAGAAAGAGGAGTAGGATTATTATGATGTGTATGTGTGTGTGTGCATGTGTAAGAGAGAGAGTAGTAGCATCATTAAGACGTGTGTGTGAGAAAGGGGCAGCATTGATGACATATTTATTTATGTGCAGCACATAATGACTGCACCCAGAGCGATGCTTTACTGCCCAGCACTCCCTCCCTGACCGAAACAAGGCCTGAAGCTGTCTGCTCACATCGACAGCCCATCTCTCTTCTGAGAACATAAACCCAGGAGCTAAAACAGTCATAAAATCAACTCCAGCAATAATGAAAGAGAACAGTATGTCAGCACAGATGGCCACTGGGAATTTACTGGACTGTACTATTTCACTCTCTCTCTATTTCTCTCTCTCTTTGTCTCTTTCTTTCTCGCTCTCTCTTTCTTTCTGTCTCCCTCTCTCTCTTGCTCACTCTGTCTCTGTTTCTCTCAACTTTCTCTCAAATTTCTCTATATTTTTGACACATCTTGCGCTGCACAGATTTGAATTACCACACATTAAAGATTTAAATGTTTAAATTGGAAGTGGGGTGCTGCTTTTCGTCTGTGTCGCACCTGGAAGGTCAGTCCAACCCCGGGGATGAGAGCAAGGTAGAGATGCTTGAAGGAAGCCATTGCCACGTCAGTTTTAGTTGGGAGGTAGTGCTGGGGGAGACAGTGTCTAAAGGCCATCCCAACCGATAGCATTGACCTTCCTTGGCCCAAGAGGAGGGTTTTGCTCCATTTGAACGCTTTGACCGACCTGGTTTCTGCCAATGACTGTGGCAAGTCTTTGACTGCCATTGATTCATCCTTATTCCTAGTTCAGGAAATGTGAACCTCCCCGTAAGCAGTTTAAAGGGTCGTTCACCAATAAAAGTAAAACTGAAGGGAGGCTTTGTGGTTGGAAGAACCACCCTTTCATCACCAGCCCTGCCATGAGGGGTGAGCTACATGATCGGCGCTTTATTTCTCCAATCAAACACATTGGTTTGGATCCTGAACACAAAATGCCAACATTGATGGTGATATGTACTACCCACAGGTCTGTTTCGAGACCTCATTTCTGAGCATTGCATCCCACTGCATTTAAAGGCCATTTGAGGTCTGAAAAAAAAAAAGATCATTAAGCTTAGGGCAGGAATTTCTGTGGATATACCAAGCCTTTGCCAGGTAAAGGCCAATGCTCTGTGATAACAAGATTCTAATCTCCTTCGGTTTCAACCAGAAAGCGTAAATCTATGGTGCATGCCAAGAGCCTAACAGAGTGGCACCATTTTCTGGAAGGCTGGAATCTCATGACTCCAAATAAATTGATTGTATTGTGACGTCATTCAGAGCGTCACCAGAGTCAGAGCACAACATGAAGGAGCAGGAAGCCATCGGTCATGGTGAGATAGATAGCTCTGAAAGAGAGATGCTGCAAACAGCAGTCCCTTCTTTGGTGTCTTCTTAGCGAAAGAGCATATCCCATTTTATCATGCCAGTTCAGACTACCAGCACTAATGGTGATGTGTTCTACACATAAAGGTCCGCTTGTTTCAAGACCTCATTTCTGAGCATTGCATCAGTGTACAGGTATATTCATTTCTATCAGGTGTCAGGTATTTTACATTTCAGCCATAGCTAATACATAATATATATATATATACTGTATAAAAAAACTTGTTGGCATTGGAAATCTCCAGTACCTGGACTGTTCAAGGCCAAGCGAGATTCCACATGATTGCACAAGAGCAAATGAGAATTTGGAAGCTTTGGACAGTCCTGGATAGAGTTTTACAGGGTTGGGCTGCAGCAGATGGCTTTTAACAGGACTGGACCTGAGGCTGGCCAGTTTAGATGTCACATTACAGTACATTACATTACACTCATTTAGCAGATGGTCTTACCCAGAGCGACTTCCAGCACAAGAGAACAGAAGTGCATCCATCCAAGTAAAATGAGCAACTGTGTCAGACCAGGCTAAGAACACTCCCAGACCAGTGAGTGTGAGCGCAACACCATTAATACACAACATTGCATGGGACTGAACAGGGTTAGACAGCATTGAACATGATTGGACAGGACTGGACAACATAGGGTGGGATTGAACAAGATTGGACTGGATTGGGCAATACTTTAGAAGAGTGAACCCGATTGGACAGAACGAGACAGGGCTGCTCAGGATTGGACAGCCCCGGGGGGGCAAATTGAACGTGTCGTTCCTATGTGGCCGCAGGCTTGGGGAGAGTTTAATCCACCTCGCTGAGCAGGGAGAGAATGGAGCCTCAGGAGGATACATACACGCACACGATTCACTGCGTGTACTCGATATGAACTCCCATTGACCGCCACATCCATTTACATCCAGGATTATGCAGATGGCAGGGGGGAAAGGTCAGTCTCGCACCCTGCAGGACTCCACAGATCTCTGCCGAGGCAGGCTGCTGTAATTCTGCCATCTCCCGATAAAAACTGGCCAGGCAATACTATTTGTAACTCAAATCGTCAGACAGATTGGACATCTGTCAAGTTTCTCTACGGAAGTGCTCCGCACGGAATAACATTGATCTTTATGCAAAAAGGAGGAATTCTGCATGGGAAAAGACGGTCAGAGCAGAAGTGTGGAGCAGTAGAGTTGTGCGAATGTGCTTGCATGCGCATGTGTGAAAGTGTGTTTTCGATTGTACGTCAGTGTGTGTGTGTGTGTGTGTGTGTGTGTGTGTGTGTGTGTGTGTGTACCTTCAGCACTGCGATGACGCTAGGTGGGTAGCTTAATCCCACCATGTTGGACGTCCGGCGGTACATTCTGTCAGGGAGAGATAACAGCACACGGTCAGAGTGTCAGCACACCCTGAAAAATGCCACCACAGGCCACTGCTGAGAATTCTGGGATATTAACCCAGCATTTAAAGGTCACCTGAGGTCTGTTCTCAAAAAAATCATTAAGCTTAGGGCAGGAATTTCTCTGGATATACCAAGCCTTTGCCATGGAAAGGCCAATGCTCTGTGATAACAACATTCTCACAAATAAATTGATCGTATTCTGACATCATTCAGAGTGTCACCAGAGTCAGAGCATAACATGCGGGTGCACCAAGCCTTATGTAACGGTAGATAGACAGCTCTGACAGAGAGATGCTACAAACAGCAGTCCCCTCTTTGGTGTCTTCTCAGTGACAGAGCATATCCCATTTTATCAAGTCAGCGTAATCACTGGCAAAAACTCTGAACAGCCCAGCTCAGATTTACACCTTGTTCTGGAATGGGCTCTTAAATTAGTATTTTACGATGTGAGATACATAGAAAAGGCTTTCAACTTTCAAGCATTCCAAATTAAATCATACAAGACTATGCTTTAAATAATTAAAGCACATTAATATTCTCTTGTGCCAGACGTTCAGCCGTATTTTCCACAGGGCAAGTCCTGCGCTGTTTGCATAATCCTTCCCATGCTAACACTTTTTTGCTCTCCATCAGCCTCTGGGTGATGGCTGTTTCACCAAAGGGACGTTTCAGATACATCAGTTCCACGGATTAAAATGAGATGTCACCGCCACAATGTATTATTAACCAGCAAAACTGCGGCGGACTGAAATATCACCAAAACTAAGTGTGGCTGTGGAAGAAAAGAGCCAGGCATCCGGTGGGCATCAAGCTTTTTTGCAAGCTTCCTGCTAGTGGTGCCCTCAAGGTGATGCGCCACCAGCTTGTTCCGGGAGGCGTCCGCACCTCTCCACAAATATCCCAGCCTGCACGGCGTGCACGATGCTGCGGAAACGTGGCTTCTCCTC